ATGCTGATGTTTTATGTGGATTTATTTTATATCCTGCTACATTGCTAAAACTATTGTTTCAACTAATTTTTTAGTTGAATCTCTAGGATTTTCCAAGTATATCATCATATCACTTGCAAAAAGAGACAGTGTTATTACCTAATTCTACATTCTGATTCCTTCAATTTCCTTTTCCTCTCTTATTTAAATTAACTGCATTTCTAATACAATATCAATGATAGTATTGATAATGGGCATTCTTGTTTCACTCTTGATCTTACTGGGAAGGCTTCTAACTTATTCCCATTATAAATAACGCTTGGTGATGGTTTTAGATAGATGCTCCTTATCATTTTAAGGAAAAAAATATTTATATCTATGCTTTCAAGTGTTTTTCTTAAAATAGGAATGTGTTATATTTTCTCAAAAGCTTTTTTCTGTATCTGCTGATACAATCACAATTTCCGTTATTTTGTTATTGATATGATCAATTATGTTAATTTTCCTTACATTAAACCATTCCTACACCCCTGGTATGAATCCCAACTTGGCCACAAGGTGTAATTTTTGTGATATATTGTTGCAGTCTCCTGACTGGTATTTTATTTAGGATCTTTAAATCCATAATCATTAATGAAATAGGTCTATAACCTTCTTTCTCTGTTTTTGCTTGTCTTCATTTAGGTAAAAGCACCATATTTATTTCATACAAAGAGTTTGGTAGGACTCCTTCTTTGCCTATTATTCCAAATAATTTAATATTGGAATTAGTTGATCTTTAAATGTTTGGTAAAACTCACTTGTATATCCATCTGGTCCTAATGCTTTTGTTTTTGTTTTTGTTTTTTCTTAGTAAGCTCAAGTATGGCCTATGCAATTTCTTTTTCTAAGATAGGTTTATTTAGATGTTCTATTTCTTCTTTTGTTAATCTAGGCAGTTTATGTTTTTATAAATACTCTTCCATTTCACTTAAATTGTTAAATAATTGGGCAAAATAACTTCTAATTATTAGTTTTATTTCCTGTTCATTAGTGGTGTATTCGCCCTTTTCATTTTTGATACTAGTGATTTGGTTCTTTCTTTTTTTTAAATCATTAACCAACAATTTATCTATTTTACTGTTTTTTTCCATAAAACCAACTTAATTTTATTTATAAATTTAATGGTTTTCTTACATTCAATTTTATTAATCTCACCTTTGATTTTTAGGATTTCCAACTTCGTGTTTAACTTTAACTTTATGATCCTTGAAGATCTGAGGTTTCTTTTTTTTCCTCTCCATTTTAGCATGTAAAGAATTCATCCTCACACTGTCCCTTCCAAATGATGAGATCTGTCTAACTCGGTGTTTCATTCAGCTCTCATATTTTCATATAACACTGTAATCTGCTTAGCGTTTTCATGAGAAATGCTTGGAAATAGTCTTTCACTAAAGATTCATTTTTTGTCCTGCAGTACTATGTTCAGTTTTGCCAGGTCTATTGTTCGTAGTTATGAGCCTTTATCTTTTGTCTTTTTGTAAACCATATACCAAGACTTGGATTTATTGATTTTTTTTTGTTTTGGTTTGGTTTTTGGTTTTTGGGGGCTTTTGGGGGTTTTTTTGGTAGTGGCAGTTTGTAAGTCTTGTGTGATCTTGACTATGGCTCTTTGATACTTGAACTCTTTTCATGTGGCTGCCTGCAGCATTTTTTTTTTTTTGACCTAGAAGTTCTTGATTTTTGGCTATGAAACTCTTGGAAGTTTTAGTTTTGGAATTTTAGGTGACTGGTAAATTCTTCCAATTTTTACTTTGCCCTGTGATTTTAAGAGATCTGGGAAGTTTTCACTTATGATTTCTTGAAATATCATACCTGCATTTTTTTTATCAAAATTTTCAAGTAGTCTAATAATTCTTCATCACGTTTCCTTGATCTGTTTTCCACTTTAGTTGCCACTTAAAATCATTTTCTGTTTAGTTCTAACTTTTATTTTTATTATTATTATTGTTTTTTTTAGGCAATTGGGTTAAGTGACTTGACCAGGGTCACATAGCTAGTAAGTGTCAAGTGTTTGGTCTGAGGCTGCATTTGAACTCAGGTCTTCCTGACTTCAGGGCCCATGCTCCATCCACTGTGCCACCTAACTGCCTCTCTTATTCTAAATTTTAGAGGATTCAATTCTTGTATTGATTTACCACTATCTGTTTTAAGATTTTATTTCTACTTGCCATTTTTTATCTCCTGTTTTGTTTCTTCCAGATACTCTTTTAGTCCTTGTTACCAGCATAATCTTTCCTCTGTCTGTCTCTTTGGATTTATAGAGCTACTCTCCTCCTCTGAGTTTGCCTCTTGGGCTTCTCTCAGGTATTTCAATGAGTCAGAAAATAAACATTAAGTAAGGACCTACTACATAACAAGCATTGTCCTAAGAGCTAGGTCCACAAAGAAGGGCACAAGACAACTGGTTCTCAATGATTTCACAACATAATAGAGAAAGACAATACATTAAAGATGAAAAGAGGAAGCAGGGGAAGGGGAAGAGGAAGAAAAGGTATAATCAGGGCATGATGAATTCCTAGAGCTAGGTGGGAAACTAAGATGACTGACTTGACCCTTCTCTCCTTAACTGGAGGATCTGGGAGTAGCCCTTCAATATCTACCCTCCACCATCTTCACTGGGTTCAGAGCTTTTATTTTTGTTTTCTTTTTTTTCGCCTTCTCTCCACCTTCCCCACATTTATTTATGTCTCTTGCTTATTTCTGGATTGTGCTCGGGTCAAATTCATGGTGTGGGCAAGCCCATATTCTATATTTGCCTGGCTTTATCTCCTGCTGTCAGTTAGGCCTAGACTCCCTGGATGGTACTTAAGCCCTATCTCATTCTGAACCTGGACTCTTTGTTCAGCTCACCATGGGCATGCCTCTGGCCCTATTTCCTGCAGTGGAAGCTGCTTACTGATTTACCTTTTGCCTACTGAGGCTTACTTTGGCTCAGGGTTTCCTCAGACTTCTGGTAACATCCTGGGATGGAGAAAGGAGTTTTTAACTGACTTTGGTTTTCATTATCATTATATTTTCTCGTGTATTTTTGAACTTTACTGGAATGTCTGGGGCGAGGGGAAAACTGGGGATCCTCTAGGTCCTAATATGCTACCCTCTTCCTGCAATTCTGTTTCATTATTTTAATAAAAAGAAAAAAAACAGAATCAAGCATCACTCTTAACTAGTAGACTCTACTACAATGATACATTCTGAACTGAAAATTTTCTTAAGATTTGAGGCTTATCTTTAGCTCAGTGTCTGGCACATAGTAGGGGCTTAATAACTTCTTGTTTCCTTCCTTCCTGAAAAAAAAATTTGAGGCTTGAGATTAGGTAAAATTAACCTATTCCTCTTCCCCCCCACCATGATATCCTCTATAAGGCCTCTTCAAACTCTAATATTCTTGAGCTTCAAAAATGATTAAGCACCTAAAAATGCAAAGGGTGGTGGAAGTAGTATTAAAACATATTAAGTTAATACGCATATGACAAAATTCAGAAATCAGAGGATATAATCTTGTTCAGAAGTTTTTGGGTAAAAATCAATGAAGACAAAAGCGGTTATGTATTTAGGATACACTATTGATCAACTGGATGGAAAGAGAAAATTGATAATGCATTTAGGAAACAGATCATAAATCTGATATGGAGGCATGATACAGTAGCAATGGGAGGCTTCAATTATCTTGACATCTACTGGAGTACTCTCTGAGCCCAAAACATAGCATGCAACAACTTTTTGACATGCTTTGATGATAGCCTCATACTTCAAAAGGTAGAGGAATCAACTTAGGGAAATTCCAATTCTGATTCTCACTGACAGGGAGGAACTGTTTTTTGGGGGTGGAAATGATGGGAACTTTGAGTTTGTTTACAATTTTGAGGAGATTAAAAGTGGGCATTGTCTGACATTCATTGTAAAAGAGAACAGATTTCAAAATGTTGATCACAAGGGGGATAGGAATCTACCAACAATGAAATTCTGGAGACACAAAGGGAATCAATTCCAAGAGGGAGAAAAATGGAAGTTGTTTGAAGAGAACAAAGTGAGTGCATATGGAATATGTCAACCACCTTTGATATTCAATGTTATTTATTGAAGATTAAAGTTAAGGGAAGGTAAGGAGACAAAAGACGTTTTATGATCCAATTTAAAAAAATGTGTCAGAATCGATTAAGCTTAGAATGAGCCACGCTAAATAAGAAAGCCATAGGCAACACACAGTTTCATGTTTTGGGGTGGAGATTTTTTGGTGGTGTTGTATGTATATTGAGCATAAGAGAAGGATCAGAGAAGAGATAGGAATACTCCTAGAGGTAGAAAGGATAAAGAAAATTGAGAACTGATAGAAAGCAGGATTGCTCAATTGTTAATTTACCTTTCATTGCTCCGCCAAATAGAATGACATTTGTACTGGAAATGAAAGGGAAAAAAATGGCTAAAATATAGTTGATATCCAGGAAAAGTAGCAAGATACTTATTTTTCTTTCTTAAGAAGCAATAGAGGAAATTATTAGAAACTATTTTGTCAATTATGTACAACAAAACTATTAAATGAAATGGATCAATACTTAACTAAATACAAAATATCCATATTAACAGAAGAAGAAATGGGGAATTTAAACAATTTAGCCTCAGGAAAAGAAACCAAATAAATCATAAATAAGTTCCCAAAGAATGAATACCAAGCCCAAATAGATTTGCAAGTGAAAGAATAATGAATTCCAATGTTCACAAAAATAAAGAAGGCATCCTATAAAACTCACCAACTATGTATGGCGGATGAGGGAGAGACCAAGAGAGACAGGCAGAGGCACAGATAGAAAGCGTCCTGACTCCCAGGGTCAGAGAAAGCAAAGGTGGGAGGGGAGGGGATAAAACCTAATTCAATCCTCTTATTTTGTAGATGAAGGTGTTGAGGCCCAAAGAGGGGAAAGGTCACAAGATCCCAACGGCATATAAGTAGAAAGTAGCAGAAGCAGAATACCAGTCCATACCTGTGATTCCAAATTCTGGCCTCTTGCCACCGGCCTACCATTAACTGCTTCCTTTGTATCAGTAACCAAAGAAAGGTCTTGGGGGCAGGTGGATACATCATCTCCTAGGATGGATTGTTATTCTCTATGGGTGATCTTTTCTTTCTGAAGGAGCTGGGGCAGAGGTTCCAAAGTGAGGTCACTTTGGCTATGACCTTCACTTTCATGCTCACATCAGGCTCTCTAACGAGGGACAACCGCCCTCGGTGTGTCAGAACTACCTCACTGAGGTTCCTCAAGGGTGGCTCCCGTCTAAGCCTTATTTCTGCTCCCAAGGGCCGGCTCTCTCGCGCAGGGGCAGTGGGCATCCCACGGAAAGCCTTGGCCCACAGACCAAACACACACAAAGTAAATGCCTCGGCCACACAGTGATGTTTATTCTTATTTTTGAGTTTTTGGTTTCTCCAAAATGAGCAACTTTCATGGAAGACGAGATGAGCAAAGTTAGGTACAATCCCTCACCCCTGAGGCCACACGGGCTAAGTAACGTTCTTTCACAGAAATGGGGGCTGAGGGTTTGCTCTCCGCCTCTCTGCCGATGGAGAAAGGCGGCCAGGCTTCAGCACCGGGGCAGGGTCTGTCTGTTCAGTCACCCACCGCCCCTACAATGCATGATCTCGAAAGTCTTAGTCCGTAACAACATTGTATTTCTTGAGGAAGCCGGCGAAAGTCTTGCTGACGTACGTCCCAAAACAGATGAAAGTAATCGCAACACTAAGTACCCGGAAAAGTCCAAAAGGCATAGTGAACGGCGGGGGCATGATGGCTCTGTTGCGTTTGGAGGAGCTGGACCGGGACGGGAGCAGCCAATGCCCCGGACGGCTCCAGCGCTTCAGCAGGCCTTGCTTAGGCCAGAGAGCCCCCCTCTGCGCATGCGCCGCCCCTACCCGGAGAGAGACTCCCAGCCACATCTTCCAGCCTCCTCGGCTCAGCCAGTGCTGGGGAAGAAAGGGTTTGTTCTCAAATCTCGCGTTAGCCCCGGCTGAGAATCCCGGATGTCGCGTGCTAGATGGGCCGGGCTCCTTTAAGACGTATTGTGAAGACTTCCCATGGGTCCTCAAGAGCAAACCAAAACAAATTAACCAGGGTTCATTTTCTAATTTTATAGATTAAAAGAATAAAGTATGCACCATTTACTTAGATTTTTAGCAAAATAGTTGATAAAATGAAAATAAGCATCTCATACTTTGATTAAAAAAAAAAGAAATGTGGCCTATATGACGACATATTAGATTTAGAACTGGTTGAAAGATCAGGCTCAGTGCTTCAAGATCAGCTTGGTGGAAGGTTTCCAATGTAGTGGCCTAGTCGTTCTGTTCAACTTTTTTTGTTGTTCTTTATTTGAGTTTTTTGTTTTGTTTTGTTTTTATCAGTGAATTGGATAAAACATGGGATGATCATCAAATTTTCAAATAAAACCAAGTTGGGAGGAAAAAGTAACATACTAGATGACATGGGAGGGGAGAAATAGATAGATGGATGGATAGACATAGGTGTGGAATATATAGATAAATAAGTAGTTATGGATGACTGATATCAGAATATAGACGTTGATGTGAAATATACAGGTAAGTAGATATAAATAGATGGGTAGATGTAGAGAAACAGACATCTATCTAGATAAATTGCAGCATTGGGCTGTATCTAATAAGATGAAATACAATAAGGGTAAATGTAAGGTCTTCACTTGTATTGAAAAATCAACTTCCCAAGTTAAAGATGGAATGACATAACTCCACAGCAATTTGTTTGAAAAAGAGCTGGAGATTTTAGTGAACTACAAATTGTATGTGAATTAGTGATGTGACAGGCAAAATGTAAATGAGTTCTTAGGCTTCATTTAGAGGCATCTTCAAGGAAAAAGGGAATTATAGTCCCTTGTACTCTTCCTTCTTATAATCATATCTTATGTTAAGTTTTTGTTGCCACATTTTTAATAGGATGTCTGATAAGCTTTGGAGAGTACAGAGTAAGGCAACCGGGAGAAAGAAGGGCCCAGAAATAATGTCACATGAGGATAGGTTAATAAAAAATGGATTTTTTTTATCCCAGAGAAGAGGAAAATGAAGAGGGACATTACAGTTGTGTTCAAGTATTTGAAAAGTTGACATCTGGAAGACATATTATCTCTTCCAGATATTTGTACATTTTTAGGAGTCTGGAAGGTATATACATAAACACTTTCAACATCTCCACACCCTTCCTTATGCTGATCTCTAAAGTGGCTTATGTATTCCTTACCAACAGCTAAGGTTCATGGGAAGTCACATATCAAGACTATAGATACTGCAGGGAATAAAGTAGAACAATGAGATTAAAGTATATTAAAGCTGAAAGGTACCTCAAAGATCATCTAGCCTGAACCCCTGATTTTACAGATAGGAGATGCAGCCCTGGATACTAATGTGATACTAAAGCTCTGGTGTCCTCATTCCTAGATCAGTGCTCTTTCCACCACACCATTAATACTCTCTCATTACTGCCATCATTATTCATTTTTAAAATTCAACCAGAATTGAAACAAAAGATATCAGTGGCTAGAAAATAAGATTGTAGTTTAATTGGTAAGTGAAAAAGAAAGTAATAACATGACCAAAAGCAAAGCCAAGCTATCTTGGCTGAGACTGTAAAAGAATTTGACCTGGTAACCTAATGACCCAGATAGACAGTAGGATAGCTTTCTATCCCTCTGAAAAGAAATGTAGCAGGAAAATCAAAAGTCATCTTGAAGAATTTTGGAGAAGATCCATGACTTACAATATCATATAAATCCAAAGCATGTCTCATCAATGTCATGCTCTACAAGGAATAGTTTATCTCAGTAGAGATGAGCTTGAAAGCTTAAGTCGCAGTAAAATGTTTTAACTGCCCTGGGTCATAGTTTTGACACACTATCCTAAAATGATTCCTGATGGGTCAGGGCCAATATTTAATATGCAAATTAAACCAATTCTACAAATAAGCAGGGTGAGTTAATTGCTATTAAATAATGGAAATACATGAGAAATGAACACAGGCTCAACTTGGCAAAGTGCTTTTCATAAAAAAAAAAATGGAGCCTGAGTCCTCAAACTGCCTCCTACATTAAAGTGCTGTCCTCATAAGAAATTTAGTTATCAGACCACTTGAGTATGTGGTTCAGCTTGCCTACTCTTCCTCTTCCACCTCACATACCTTATTGAGTTAACAGTCGGTCTAGATTGACTGGAATGTGGGGCCAGTGACTTGTGCCTGCTGTCATTACACACCCTGGCTAATTGTCTGGGAAATACTTCTGCCCTCCTACCCCTGCAAAAATCTGAACTCTAGTATGGGGGTGAAGGGAGCAAGTAATGGAAAGTCAACCGGTGAGGGGAAGGTGATTCCTAAGGAAAGGCAACAAGCCTCAGAAGGTAAGGTCTGCTGTGGCAAAGAGATGAGGCACTGCATTCTTTTTTTCTTTTTTTGACATTAGTAATGCCATTTTAGAATAAGCCTCCATTTCAGTGTAAACAAGCAATCACAACTAAACCAGTCTTTACACAAGATCAATAGGTGATTTTGGAAACCACCCTTTCTCTGATCCTGATGCTATCATCATACTATCAGAGCAAGAAGGCTATGACCTCTCCCCTTAAACACAGCAATTTTTGTTCAATAACAAGGACTGACTATTTGTAAACAAAGTCTGAATTATATGTACAGTGAGTATCTGTTGGAAATGGCTCATATTCACAAACTTTTTTGACCTATAGGAACTTTATTTTTCTATGAACTGTTTTCCTGTCCTTGGTTTGTGACAATGAATATAATAAAGCCTTTTACTGATTTGAATTCTAAATTTTAAAGATATGGCTTTTCATTTCATAGTAGGCCCTTTTCATCATCAGAGAAAAAAAGTAGAAGGCCATCTCACTGTTTACTTGGGTGCCTTTGGATAATTCATTGAATATTTATATTTTTTCAGTTTCTCCATCTGAAAATTTTTTAAAAAAATGATATTGACTTAGAACTGTGTTAAATTGTTGAGACGATAATAGCACTAAAGGTTTTTAAATTGTTAAGTGATGTTTATTTAAAATGATGGGCTTAAGATAGTTAATAAAAATCAAATATAAACACATTTTAATAGAAAGTAGATAATATGGAAATCTTAGGCTAGATAGCTTGTCTTAGAACAGAGCGGTTTCTGAAATGTGCTTTCACATAATTTTATTCTGACACATTTATTGTGAGATTGGTTTAAAATTTTGGGGGCCTGGAGTCAGGAAGACCTGAATTCAAATACAGCCTCTGTCACTTATTCATGGTATGACCCTGTGAAAGTCATTAACCTCTGCCTCAGTTTTCTTAACTGAAAAATGAAAATAATAAAAGTATCTACCTCACAGGTAGATTTTTGGAGATAAAATGCAATATTTCTAAAGTTCAAGGGGAAGAACCAAGATGACAGAGTACAGAGAAGCACTCAGCCTAGCTATCCCAACATTGTCCTGCAAACAACTTTAAAATAATTCCTCAAATCAACTTCTGGACTGGCAGAGACAGCAAAAGATGAGATTGAGAAATCTTTCCAGCCCATGACTATTTGGGAAGTAGGAAAGATAGATCTATGACATGGGTGTGGATTAAACAGCAGTGGAAGAATTAGGTGGTGATGACAGAAGTAGAAGCAGCTCCAGGAATTCTCAAGCCAGAGATAATAAAGGGACATGGCAAATGAAAAGAGATTACAAGGGACCCCTGTGCTAGCAGCGGACACAGGAAGAGTGTTTTGCAACTCCATTGCCTATACCCACTTCTATGTCATAGTTCAAGAGCAGAAAGGAGGACATTCAGTCAAGAGGGAGTGGAAGCTCTGAGGAACAATTATTTGGAAACTATTGCCTGTAGCCACTTCTAGATGATATTACAAGGGTAGAGAGGGGTAATTTCAGTCAAGAGAGAATGGAAGAACTGAAGAGCCGCATAACTTCTATCCCCAAGAAATCAGGGACCCTAAGGAACAGTATTGTTTTCACTCCCAAGGGAAGTGGAAAACTGAGAAGCAGTATTGATGGCAATTCTAGGTAAGGACTAGAATTCAGAACAAGAAAGCAGTGGCTACATCTCTCCCCAGATCACAGCACCTTAGAGAACCCCAAACCTCCAAACCCCTAGAACTGGCTCTACAAACAGAAATGCAAAAACAAAACGAAACAAAACAAAAACAAAAACAAAAACAAGCCAATCTTGAAGCTTGAGACAATGCCCTTTCTCCCGCACAT